GCGGCTGCCCCCCGGCAGTAGGTGGACAAGTTTTTGAGGCTCGGTTCAATGGGCTACAAATATTTTTTTATTAAAACATTAAAATTATTTAAAATATGTTTAAATTATAATTAGTATTTTAATATAAGTTGAAAAAAATGTATCATTTTTAAATTAATTAGTTTGAATAATTATATAATCAAAAAGTATAATTATATTAATATGTGGTTATGAAAAATTACTAAATTTATTTTTAATACTTTTTAGGAAATAATTACTTGTAATATTTAATAATGTATCCTAGAAAACTAATAATTAGTTTAAATTGTTGATTTAGGATGCTGGTCCTGTGCGCTAGCCACCGTTGATGAGGTTGAAGAGTATTATGGTTCTGGACCCCGACACACGAAGAGTCGGTTTATAGAAACTTCCATTCATCGAGAGAGAGAGAGGAGATGATGTGTCGGCTTCGAGCGACACCGACTGGTCAGGCTGACCAGGCTGACAGTTCGAGATCTCTTGCTTCTCTGGTACATAGTGGTCAACAGACCCACTTATTCTTCCCTGGTAGTACGAGACCTCTCCCTCCGGTACATATGGGCTAGCAACCGAATTTTTCTTTTGAGTCGACAGCCAAGAGGCTGCAGTCCTCAGATGAGGATGAGGACTGTGACTCTGCAGATGAGCAGGACGTTGTATCTCTTCCCTTATGACTACGACAGGCTCTTCAACGAAATTTTAACTCAATATACATCAAATGAAGGTCCCAAACACAAAAATTCAAGTCAAAATCATGGGTCGATTATTTTATAAAACCTCTTGAACAAAGGGGTGTCACAAGGCTTCAAAAATTCAAAATAAATTCTCAATCCAACAAAACTCAATAAGAGCGTCAAAATCAATACGAAGGTATCAGAGAGGTTCCAAATCCACAAGATTTCACAAGAAAAAGACAAAATCCAATGAATTCACATGTAAATCAAATAAATCTCCCATTTAAACATTTAGATCTAAACTTCATCATATTAGATCTATTCAACCCATAAAAATCATATAGCATCAGAGGGATCAAGCTACTTATACCGTACTTCATTGAATCTACAAGCTAGATTGTGGTGGAATCAGAGATTGAAAGAGCCTCGAGCGGCAAGCTCCGGCGTCGGCTAGTCTCGCGTGGGCCGCGACTTCAAGGGTTGAAGGTGAACCTCTTGGTGATGGATTTGTTGGGATCTATGAGGATCTCATTATGTACAAATCACGA